GTTCTTCCCCCTCCCCCAGTTATCTGGCACAGAGTACCCAGGGAGGATTCTGTGTCTTAACTTTGTGTTGATCTCTTGCAGTAAAAGTCTCACATTGCTTCACTGTCTCACATTGCAGTAAAAGTCTCACATTTTCTCCCACTGTCAGTATGGTGGGACCCTTCCCTGAACCTTCTGACATGGGGGAGAGGGGTTACTTGGCTTGGAGTCAACCACAATTCAAACCAAGCCAAAATTTGTGGATCCTGTAAAAAGTATCACCCAAAGCATTGACTGAACGGTGAGCTTAACAGCAAAAGGTTTCCAGACCTTACAGGGGTGCTGCTGTTTTATCTCTCTGGTGCATTTCCCCCCCCCCCGCCCTTCTTTCAAGAAACTCGGGGCGGGGGCGTATGTGATTATCTCTTGCCTGTTTTATCCTCACAACAAAATGGTGAGGCCGAGAGAGAAAGTGACTGGCCCACAAGTCATCCAGTGCGTTTTGGATAAATGTGATCTCCCAAATTATAGCCTGATTTTCTAACCTAGTGATGCCCACTCAGTGGATCCTTGACGTGGCACCCGGGGCTCTTCTGAGCACCGTTCCTCAATGTGGCGCCCACCCCATTTTCCAAGAAAGCCGGCATGGTTATTGCCCGGTGGCGGTTGTGGTTGACAAGTGGTTCCCACTTAGCAGAGAGAGGTTATCTCTTGCAACAGTAGAGTTGTCTTAAAGGGAACTTGTAACACAAGGAAGCATTTCATCCTCTAACATCCAGCCCTCATAAAGAGGTCTGGAGAACCTGAAAGCTTGCACAAGGCTCTGTGTCATAAGTTGGACTTGAAGTCCTTCCCCTCACTCCAGATACACAAGAGCCGGCTAAGATTCAACAGGGAGAGATCCCCCTTACATGCTCAGAGGTACTTTGGTAATTAAAAAGGAGATATGTTGTCGAAGGCTTTCACAACTGGAGTTCATTAGCTGTTGCAGATTTTCTGGGTTGTATGGCTGTGGTCTTGGCAAATCTGCAACAGCTAAAAAGGAGTTAGCTTATAAACTGAATAGTAATACTTTTATCTTGTTGCACAGATGTGTTTGGAGTGGGGCAGAGGGCAAGCAGTGATCACGTGGCTCTTCAGGTTCACAGTAATTGCAAATGTGGCTCTCTATAGACTGTGGTGTGAGTACCACTGTTCTAACCCCTACACCACACTGGGGTTCCACTTAATTCATGTGGACAGAGCCCTGTTAACAGTAGTAGTGATTCTGTTAGCAGAACAAAGAAAGCAGTCTTGAATATACAGAGTTACAGTGCTATGTCAGGGAGGGGGGGAGAACCGGGTTTCTTGGGATGCACCTGTGTTTGCAGAATTTGTTTCGAGATCGTTCATGTTTGCACAGGCAGCGGTTATGTGTGTTGCTGTTGGCAAAACAGGCTGCAAAAGGTTTTTGGGAAGAACTGCAGCTTAACCATCAAACTCTGCACAGGCTCCTTGGTAACTGCTTGTTCTTTGTCTTTTACAGCTTTAACAGACATAAGCTTCACGCTTTAGTGACGGAACGCTGTTTTCCGGTAAATATTTCAAGGGAGATCAGCAAGCGTCTTTGTTGAAGGGTTTAAGAAAAAAACCTTAAATAGCTGAAAGGAAAAGGGGAAATATAAGCTAGTGTCACTTATTTAATTTATTTCATTTATGCCCCGCCTTTCTCCCCAAGGGGGACCCAAAGCAGCTTATATCGTTCTCCTCTCCTCCATTTTTATCCCCACAAAAACCCTGTGAGGCAGGGTGAGGCCGGGAGTGTGTGACTGGCCCAAAGGCCCCTAGGCAAGCTTCCCATTATGTCCGTAAGGATTTACTCCTAGGCAAGCATAGTTAGAATTGCAATCCTTAGAAAGAGCCAGCTTATGTTTTGTTTTGTTTATTTATTTATTTTTGGGGCGTGTGGATTTTTTTGTATTTTTCGTGTGTGCGCGCACGTATGCATGCATGCGTGCACCTGGAAGTCCTGGCGACCTCTGGTGATTGACCCCTACTGGGGGCCTCGAGGCTATTCAGAGACATGGTTGAATAAAGCCTGTCCCGTCCTCCTGGCTGCTGGTATTCCAAGGAAGTCTCTCATCCAAGTACTTGCCAGGGTCAACCCTGCTTAGCTTCTGAGATCTGAGGAGATCGGGCTCGCCTGAGCTATCCAGGTCAGGGCATGTTTTATTATTTTTGTTTGTGTATGAAACTGAAATTGCTGAGCGGTCGGGTTAGAACGGATAAAAGGAAGTACTTCTTCACCCAAAGAGTGATTAACACATGGAATTCACTGCCACAGGAGGTGGTGGCGGCTACAAGCATGGACGGCTTCAAAAGGGAATTAGATAAGCATATGGAGCAGAGGTCCATCAGTGGCTATTAGCCACAAGGTATGGATAGGGGCTCTGGGGCAAGTGATGCTCTGTCTTCTTGGTGCTTGGGGCGGGTCAACAGTGGGAGGGCTTCTAATGTCCTGGCCCCACTGCTGGACCTCCTGATGGCACCTGGTATTTCTGGCCACTGTGTGACACAGAGTGTTGGACTGGATGGGCCTTTGGCCTGATCCAACATTGGCGTCTCTGATGTTCTTATGTTCTTATGTGACCTGTATAGACCAGGCTTGCCTGATCTCATCGGATCTCGGAAGCTAAGCAGGGTCGACCCTGTCTAAGTAATGCTCCCTCTAAGCTGTGGAGTCTTGTGAGCAACAATTCTACTTTGTGAGCTACTGGGATTAAAGTTGTGAGCGAGCAGTTTGGCTGCAGCATAAATTAGTTTGCTCTGGAGCCCTCCTTCCTGAGCTAAGACAAAAATGTGGAAGCCGGAGGCTGAGAAACTGTGAGCTAGCTCACACTAACTCAGCTTAGAGGGAACACTAGATGGGAATACCAGGCTTGTGGCACGGAGGCAGGCAATGGCAAGACCACCTCTGAACATCTCTTGCCTTGAAAGCCCTACAAGGGTCACCATACGTCAGCTGTGACTTGCCTTAAAAAAAGAAAGTTAAGGGGAGGGCGGCAAGGTCTAGTTCACCCAGGATGCCAAAAAAGCCTTGGGCTGGCCCTGCCATTGGGTGTAGACTTTGGCAGCTGGATTCCTGTAGGGTCGATGCCTCCTCACTTTGGGGGAAACAGCTGAGGTTTCCTCCTTCAAGGAGAACCTGTCCTGGGGAGATCCACCTAGCTTCCTCGCCATGGGCTTTGTAGTCTCCCCACGGAGCGCTGGAGTTGTCGACGTGGAAGAGATCCCACTAGGGCATCTTAGAAGGGGCTGTTCAGAAATCTGTGGGGGGCAGGGGCGTGTTCTAAAGGAACCTTGCTGTGTCTCCAGACACTGCAGGTGACTGGCTGACCTACGTGATTGTGGGTGCCTTGCAGTAGGCCTGCAAGTAGTTCCTATATGGAAAATGCCCCGCAGTAATCCTGCTGGGAATGTATTGTGTTGGCCCTTGCAAGGCCTTCATAGGAGTCCCTTTAGATTTCGAGTGCCACCCTCAACAGAGACACACACCCCTTCTAAGTCTATTAAAGTCAGTGGATTTAGAAGCAAGTAACTTTGTTTAGCAGGAGCTGCGGTGGCTCAAGTGGTTAAGATGCTGAACTGCAGGCTGTGGAAGGTCGGTAGTTCAGCAGTTCGAGACCCGAGTGTGCTGCATGACGGAGTGAGCTCCCGTCTCTAGTTCCAGCTCCTGCCAACCTAGCAGGTCGAAAGCAAGAAATTGCAAGTAGATAAATAGGTACCACTTCAGTGGGAAGGTAACAGCGTTCCGTGCGCCTTGGGGTTTAGTCATGCTGGCCACATGACCACAGAAATGTCTTTGGACAGCGCTGGCTCTTTGGCTTTGCTTAGCATTGCAAGGGACCAAGGAGCCAAGGCCGTGGCATGAAGGATGCTTGGTTCTTTCATTCTGTTGAGCACTTATTTATTTATTTATTAGATTTTTGCCCCGCCCTTCCAGCAGAGCTGGCTCACTTAGAACTCAGCTGTGTGGAAAACTTAAAGATAAAAGGGCAGGGAGAAGAGACATGGGGACTTAATGTCACATAGATCCTGCCCGTAAATACTGCCAAGGTTTTACACCAGTGGCAAGTGTAGAATACTACTTATTCCAAGAAGAGCGATTGGAGCGAGTTATAGATGGGCTTCTCAGCTTGATTTGATTCTGGCACCCATGACTTCTGTTGTTTTCACATTCCCGAGCTCTTAAAGACACTTCTGTCTGCTCTGTCTATGGGGTGGGACTGTGGCTGAGCGGTCCCAGATTCGGTCCCTGACATCTCCATTTAAAAGGATCAGGTAGCAGGGGATGGGGAAGATCACTATCAGATATCCAGAAGAGTCGCCACACATCAGAATAGACAAGAGTGATCTTGATAGATTCAGAATAATGTGCATCTTCGTGTGTTCAGTTATCATCTTTTAGTTTCCCATCCGAGATCCTGTTGCAATGTCAGTATTGGTCATGGGTCCCCTCGCTCAGTCTGTGTGTGGGGGGGAACGTTTCATGGGGTCTGAAGGGGCAGGGAGGGTTCACAGAGGTGCTTGTATCTCCTGAGAGAACTCAGAAACTCAGACTGTGCACAGTGAGCAACCAATGGTTCAGCGAAGCTAAAAGGTGCTATTGAATTGCTAGGAGATGGTACGTGGGAACAGATTCAAGACTATCCGGTGGAGCTTTGTGGAGTCCCTGGAGGCCCCTCGTGTGGTTCAAGTGCGATCCACTGATATGGTGAGCAAGAGCAACTTGTATGGACAAGTGACAGTCCGCATGCACACCCGGCAGGTACGTGTGTCCCGCTCCTTTCACCTTGGATGTGATATTGATGTATTCTTCCTAGCCTTACTGGATTCCGATTGTTTCCCGTTCTTCCCAACAGACACTAGCTATCTACGACCGGTTTGGACGGCTGATGTATGGTGGAGAGGAGATACCAAAGGACTGCCTGGAGTACGTGATCCTGGAAAGACACCTGGTTAACCCATACGGTGCGTGGCGGTTGCACGGCAAGATTGTTCCATCTTGGGCTCCGCCGAAAGACTCCATCACGAAGGTACTGTGGGGGGTGTTTTGCCACGGCAGCTCCCTAACCTCAGCGAGCTCTTTGCAAGAGCGTTATCATGCAGCTGGGTAAATAAAGGCACAAGCAACCATGTGCTCTGTCAAGGCTCCCAAGGAGTGTTCCCTCTAAGCTGAGTTAGTGTGAGCTGGCTCACAGATTTTTGGCCTCCGGCTCACGCAGTTCTGTCTTAGCTCAGGAAGGAGGGCTCCAGAGCAAACTAATTGATGCAGTAGCCAAATCGCTCACTCACAACTTTAAGGCCATAGCTCACAAAGTAGGATTTTTCCTCATGAGACTCCACAGTTTAGAAGGGAGCACTGCAGCCTGCCCACACTACCCTTGACGCTAAGTAGCCCAGCACTGGTGACTAGGGACCACAGAGAAGTCTGCAAACAACCTGTCTTGAAGTCAGCTTCAGGATGCTTCTGATCCAGCGCATTTTTATTCCACGCTTTTCCCCAAGCAGCCCTGGGGGTGTGTGTGTGTACAAGATTCCTCCACCCTGCCCTTTTTCTCCTCACGACTACCTTGTGAGATAGGTTAGGCGGAAACTGTGTGATTAGCCCCAAGTTTGTGCAGCAATCTTCATGGTGGAGTGGGACATGGATCTGGGTCTCCCACAATCTAGCCTGATTTTTTTCTACATCATGGAGGGTTCCAGAGCAATGCATTTCAGGACTTCCTGTTCTTCAGGAGAAAGAAAAATAAGGCTATGCCAAGCTAGGTGCCAGCAAGCCCCGAAATGGAAAGAGATGCCAAGTGACATCTTTATTAATATAATTAATTAATAGAAAATAATACACAAATATATTATTATTGTATATTATATCATATAAATATATTATTCTTATGTGGTAGCTCCCCGGAGAATTCAAAAGGTACCCACAGGCTCAAAAAAGGTTAGGGACTCCTGCTGTACGTGTTTCACTGTAAAAGCCTTCTACATACTATGGAAAGGTTCAGAACAAAGTGATTAAAATGTGGGAGTCCCTGCCAGAGGATGTCATGATGGCCACAGGAATAAACAGTTTTAGGAAGGGATTAGATACTTATTCTCCATGGATATCAGTGGCTACTAGCCATGGTGGCTGAGGGGAACCTCCATGTTCAGAGGTGCTAAGCCTCTGAATCCCAGAGCCAGGAGGCAACATCAGGGGAAGGTCTCAGCTTCCTCTATGCCCTGTCGTTGGCCCTCCAGAGGAACTGGTCAGCTGCTGTGTGAGACAGGATGTTGGGCTAGACGGACCATTGGCCTGATCCAGCAGGGCTCTCCTTATGTTCTTATCAGGGGAAGGCCTCGGCCTCTATGTCTTGTTGCTGGCCCTCCAGAGGAACTGGTTGGCCACTGTGTGAGACAGGATGTTGGACTAGATGGGCTATTTGGTCTGATCCAGCAGGGCTCTTCTTATGCTCTTATCAGGGGAAGGCCTTGGCCTCTATGCCCTGTTGGCCCTCTAGAGGAACTGGTTGGCCATTGTGTGAGACAGGATGTTGGGCTAGATGGACCACTGGTCTAATCCAGCAGGGTTCTCCTTATGTTCTTAACTCCCTGGTCCCCCAATGAAGCTTTTATGGCAAAACGCGTAGGCCAGGGCTCCCTAGCCTTTTTGAGGCTGCAGGCACCTTTGGAATTCTGGCACAGCATAATGGGCAGAGGCACAAAATGGCTGCCACAAGAGACAGAGCCAGCCCCAAACTGGCTGCTGCAGCTTACCTTCAGTCACACAATGAAGATCTTTGTGCTGTGGTGGCAGTTGGCTGCCAGAGCATAGCCAATCAGAAGCCTTGCTGGGCAAAGTCACACCTGACTCTGCCCACTTTCTTAAAACACTTGGTCTGCACCAGGAAAAGGGTTGGTGGGCGTCATGGCGCCCAGAAGCGCTGTGTTGGGGAGGGGACCCCTAGTGTAGGGGCTTTGTATAATAATAAACCTGTTATGTAGCATCTCTTTTCCTTTTTTGACTTCCTGTTTTTCAGACCAGGATTTAGGGAGGGAGGAAGGTCACACTCTTGCATTGCTGATTTTCCCACCTTGTACCGTCTTGGGTTAGGGGGAAAGGGATGCGTTATTTAGCTCCTTCCAAGGGCTTAAAGGCCACTTTTGATTTGTGAGAAATGGTATAGAACTAGGTTTGGAAACCCTGGCTTAGCATCGCTTCCTGCCTTCCACAACCGACAGAAAGGTCGGAGGGAGGGAGGTCTAAGGTGGGGGAAAGGACAAAAGAATTCCCTCTCCCATAATGCTGGATGGGCTTTTTGCTAGTAGATTAAGGAAGAGTAACATATTTTGGAAATAGATGATAATGGCCTGATCTCTTTCTTTCTTTTTTCCCTAACTTGCAGACTGTTATGATCCCAGGCCCATCTCTGGATCTTTCGCAGGAATATGAAGAAGTCAGCATTCCGGAGGCTACACCAGCGCAGGCCACACCAGCGCAAGCCACACCAGCGCAACAGATTGTGTGATATAAATAATGTCCAAGGGGTGGATTAAGATAGAATTTGTTGTGTCTTACGGGGGGCACTCTAGAATTGTTGACGCGTGGCATACTCTTTCATGCCTCCTTGTGCAAGTGTTTGGTCTTGAACTTCTAATGAAGCCTCAAGCTGCTTAAAGACCTTTGAACTGTTTGTCATGCCACAGTCCCATCAGAGCTGCTGGATCTTCACAGCTTCTTCAGCTTCTGTCTGGAGGCTGATTACTGCATATCTTCAAGTTCTGGCTGAAATATTGATCGGTAAAGAAGTGAGGCTTGAAGGCAGTGCCTCTAATACTTAGGGAATAAAAAGGAAAGCGCCATCCCTCAGTGCTGTCCGGAATCCAAACCTCTGCTGTTGAAGACTGTGCTTTCTAATGCCCGTAATGCATTAGGGCAGGCTATCTACCCTGTGGTCCTGAGATTTATGCACATGGTCGGAGGCATGCACATTCTTTCACAGGTTGTAAGGTGAGACTTAGCAGTGAAGAGCATTTATAGAGAGGAACTCTCAAGCAGGTTAACACCTAGAAATAAGCCAGCTAGCTTTCATTGGAGACCCTCTTGAAGTTCAATTAAGCAACCTTTCCACAAGAAGTTCTTCTCCTTGACCTATCACATTTTCCCAGCTCTCAAGCAATATAATATTTTTTTTGCTAGCCAGATAAGATTATAAAACTCATAAACGCACGAAGCTCCCTTATCCTGAATCAGACCCTTAGTCCATCAAAGTCAGTATTGTCTACTCAGACTGGCAGCAGCTCTCCAAGGTCTTAAGCAGAGGTCTTTCACACCACCGACTGCCAGATCCTTTAACTGGAGATGCTGGGGACTGAACCTGGGACCTTCGGCATGCCAGGCAGATGCTCTACCACTGGGCCACAGCCCCTCCACTTATGGGGGAACCATTTTGTATTGCTGATTTAGAATGTATATGAAAGTGTCAGATACCTATTGGCTAGTATTGGTGCCTTCACTGATTTTACTGGAAGTCCACTAATATTGCTCCAGAACGCCCACAACTTGAGACTCTGACTTTTGCCCTTGACCTCCATAAAGCAGGTTAGTCCCAAAATGAAGCCTTCTGTCGGTTTTGCCCCTTGGTGGGACCGCTTCACCTTTTGCTTGGAGGCTTTCACTAGATTTTGCTAGCTGGCTTTTTTTGCTGAAATCTAGGCAGGAGGCTATGCTGTGCCCATTTTGGGGGGAATTGAGCTGCAAATCAGAGGAGTATAGTTGCTGGCTAGACTGTATTTCCATAAGTCGGGAGGAGTTTGGGTGTCCTGCATAGCTCCTTGGTCCTAGCAAAAGCAGAATAAATTATGGGGAGGGGGAAGCGCATTAGTGCAAATTTGAACAAATTTACCTGGGTCAGCGGAAGCAATTGGCTTTTCTTGGCAAACGCATCGAGTTTATGTATCTGAGATCCAGCCAAATTAACAAGCCCCTGGCTGGAGAAGTTTGCCAGCCTGGACCTGCCATGCCGTCAGTCACGCTAAATTGGCGTTCAGCTCTACTGTGTAATGGTCCAGATGGGAATCTCTCGAGAGTCTTGGTGGTACAGAGGTTTAAAAAAAGACCCTCGTGAGAAGTGAAAGTGGGCCTCTGTCCTTAGGCCCACGTAGAAGTTTCCGATGGCCATATGCAGGCGTGGTGCGGAGCAACCGGTTTAGAAACTAAGCACAAAATCCTTATAAATAAATCTTGGTCTAAGGGTCTCTTGTGCATGCTTCAGGGAGGGAAATGTGGCAAGTGGGGTAGCAGCAGAGATGGCTGGCTTGGAGGCAGATCCTGGTGTGCTCCACGTGACGTGCGAAACCACCCTGTCTGTATCAATCCTACAAGCCCTGTCAGTCTCGAGTCCTCCATTTGTGAGAAGGTGGCCAGGAGGCGAGTGCACGTTTGCCCTCAGGTTTGTTTCTAGCCTGTTGTGGATTGCCAAGGTGGAACTGCGTCATCGCAAAACCGAAGAGGGCATTGCCGGGAGGTGGGGCGGGGGGTGGGGGAAGAAGCCCTACCCCTTAGCCGAAACAATCAGCAAGCTACATTCTGTCAATATAGAGATAATATTTTATTTCTGTATTTACACTTATTACAGCATTAGATAAACCTCGTTTGACATTCAGCGCTGAGACGGCCGGGGACGGCCTCACACTATGTTAGCAGTACTGCCTAAAGGGGCAAAGGACAGCTCACCAGGGAAGGCAGGGCCCATCAAGCAGATTTCGGATTTTGGCTTTAATGCTAAAGCAGAAAAAATGTCACTTTTGCTGCTCATGGGATCCCCTTGTACGGGTGGGGATTAATGGGCGCTCAGAGGATACAAGGCAGTGCAGAAGGCTTCAGAGGGGTGGGGGACTGCAGGAAGGGTCTGACTCCCCGCGTCCTCTCTCTCTCCCTCTCTCTCTCCTGAGCTGGTGATTCGCAGTAATCTTATAGGGATGGAGAGAAAGATGCTGCATGAAAGATGAATGTTGAGTGGGGCCCATCTTTTGGTTCTGTCTTCTGTTATATGAAGCCACCTAACTCTTGATTCCCCCCCCCCCAGGTGAGTCAGATCAGGTAGCCAAATGTCTGGAATCCATCAGCTGTGAGGATGATGGGCCACCTCCTAGCACCCCCAGAAACTGGGGGTGGTGCTACATGATGATGTCATGTCCTACCATAAACTTTCCAGAGTGTCAGCTTGACACATGGCACCTCTGGGGTTTTGCTGGGATATGATGCCAACACAGCATAGTGTCATTTCCACCTTGCACGGTTCTCCCAGCAGCCACAGAGGCAAGGGTGGGTACAGGCCCATAGCCACCACCTGTAAATACTTTTAAAAATCGTTTTAAAACATTTTTTAAAGGAGTGTGCTCCTTTAAGCAGAGTGGGGTGCTGTAGTTGACTAATTCCTGCAGTGAGCAAGGGGGTTGGAATAGGTGACCTCTAGAATCCCTTCTAACTCTGCGTCAAGAAACTGGTCTCCTTTAAGAAAGTTTTTCTGCCTAAATGTTAGCTTTCTTAAACTATAGAAGTCATCACCCCCACTTGCCGGCTTGTTACCAGAATAGTTGCTTCAGCCGGCAGAAGTGATTCACTTGCAGCAACTGAGAACTGTCATCTAAAGTGGTTGACAGCTTGCAGTTTAGAGATCTATCCTGGTAACAGCTTTCTGTTGGCTAAATGGCTTTTCTTCTGCACTGAGAACTTCAGCCCCACTAGGAAAAAAAAATTGCCCCACAAGCCACAAAATCCTGGCTACGGGCTTGGGTGGGCGGGACAACTCAGCTGTTACAGAATGCCCACCCAAAGCAAGCAAATGTTTGGTTTTAACCCTTGTGTTTTCTCCAACATCCCACTGTACAGGGGATGTTGCCAGAAATCCAGTCTGAGATGACGTTTTTCCTAAGGCAGACATCCGTAGTGGCGCCAGGCTGCAAGAAAAGTTGGCCAGCTCGGACAGAAAGCTCTGCAAGTGCCAGATGATCTTTGATGTCTACTCCATTTATGCCCCACTTTTTCTCCCCAGTGGGTGTCCAAAGTGGCTTACAACTTTCTCCCCTCTGCGTTTTAGAGAAGGGTTAGACTTAGCTAAATTGCCAGGATGTGCGCCGGCGCTAGTCCACGGGGATTATATTCCACCAGGGCTGCATGTTCTGGAGAAATGGTGTACCAAGAGTACAGCTTCCATCTGTTGACTCTATTAAGCCACATTGTTTATTTTAGGGCTGGTTGCAGATCTCTTTTGCTGGGATGCAGCCCTGTAGATATGGGCAAGAACTCCAGATGTGTTGGCTCCCATTGGGTTTTTTTGGGGGACACAAAGCTACCCGGCTGCACTCTGGGATACAAGAGGGGCAGTGCGTGTCTCATGCCCAGTATCTGGGACCACCTGTAGGTAGGGGGTATGTTGAGTTCCTAGCCCCCCGGTTCCAGTAATGATGGGCACAGATGTCCTGGAAACCAGTTTACCTACCACATTTGGTCTCCCTTGCAAGGTGCATTGGGCCTTATGGACGGAATGTGCCCCAGATTCCACTGCAGTGCATTGGGAAACTCCATGGCAGGCATTCGACAGATTCTTCAGAAGCCAGGTTATCATGGAAAATGGTTCTTTCAAAGCAGAAAGTGTTGGTGTTTTTTGCTTTAAACATATATACACAGACTTTGTGTGTGTGTGTTAAGCTAATATCTTGCCATGCTTCCCTGAAAGGATATATGAAAATGTCTGAAAATGGGAGAAATAAATGGCTTGAGGAGCCACCGTACTTGGAATGTAGCATTCAGGCATCAAAACTGACATCATTAAGACAATACAAAAAAAAAATTAACATTTGGTTCCAGAAGCTAACCTGATGAAGTGGGGAAGAGAGTTTGGGGTGAAATATGAACATGATTCTCAACAGGGGTTTCCTCAAGGAATATGGAGGCTTAACTGTGGAGTTAAGCCATTCAATCATCTTTTGGGGAGCATAGTCCCAAATCCTTGGTCAGCCGTGATTCTACAGGAACTTGCTGCATCCACATTCCCTAGAATAGGATACTAGCCAACTGAGATGATGGTTGTGGAAATAAATACGATCTCTGGTGGTCTCTTGTCCATTGATTCCCATAGGTTTGATGCCATCCAGCATTCCTTAGAGACAACTTTGGATGACACTTTTTACTGTGAACATCTCCAGATGCTTCTTGCCTCTACAGACTTCAGGAATGGATGGTCTGGAATTTTTAGGGGGAGGGATGCAGCAGGGGTATGTCCGCTACACATTTAACACAGAGAGAACAGAATGTGCAGTGTTTTGCAGCTAGCTTGGGTTTTTTGCAAATGAAGGCAGGAAGGTATCACTTCTCTGGTGACTGCTCCAACATCTGATGGGCGGTTCACCATTTTTTTAAAAAAATACAGAGGCCGCCCATCACCAGAGTCACCGCAAAGATGTCTTTGTTGAAATCCAGGCAGTAGGCTATGCTGGACCAGTTCAACATTGCGTGCGGAGCAATCCTTTTGCAGAAGCGTCTCTCGGACCACTAGGCCAGTTCTTTGTTCTCTCCGGCTCAGTCGGAGTCCCAAGGAGAAGCAACCGATTTGGCTTGCCTAGGACTCTTTGCCTCCCTGGCCTGGGGCTTATCCCCTCTTTGGCCTCTGGCTAGAGTGGAACCATGTCCTCCTGCCCCCCACAGAGATGCCTCAGAGAAAGCCTTGCTGATGGCCATGTAGTCTTTTCTGTCGGCGGCAGGGTCATCCCAAGGACAGATGTCAGCCATGGCGCCGTCGCTTCCGGTTTTCGCTGCAGCGGTGGCCCGTGGGCCTTTGCTTATGCCTTTTGGTAGCATGCTCTCCGGGTAGGTACGGCACAGAGGTCTGTGTCTAGCTAGACCCTCAGGCTTGCTCTGGGGTGTTTTCTCCCCGGCTGGGGGTGCCTCTGTCCTGTCAGTGCATGTTGCCTGTTTCTCGGTCTCGGTGACCAATCCGGTTGCTGTTTCCCATGGACAAATCTCCTCCTTAAGAGGTACTTCTGGGGAGTCTGCTTCCCAAGGGCAAATTTCTGTCCTCCGGCTCTCAGAGCTGTCAGATTTCTTTATCAAACTGCCAGCCGAATGACTTGATGCCAAGACTCTTGGTGTATCTCTAGGGCCTTTTCTAGCTGCTTTGGTATCCGCTAAGGAAGTCCTGCTAATGTACTTCCTTGATAACTTCTTCTCTAAGGGAACATCAGCCGGCTCCCAGGGAAAGTCTTCCATTTTGGTGATCGACTCAAACTCTTGGGATTCCCACGGACAAACCTCAGCTCTCAGACTTTCTGTGCTGTCGGATTTTTGGGATCCAACCTTGGACAGGTCGAAGCTTTTGCTGCTTTGTTTTATGGAGAGTTCTTCAGTACTCTTGGAAGCTAACTCGTGGTGGCTGTGAGCCTTCTCTATCTTTCTAGATGCACCGGGTCCCCCAGCGTTCTTTCGATCTGGGCTGGTACTCAGTCTTCTGCCTTTCAAAGCTCTGCTTGTGTCTTGTTTTAATACCACTTTAGTGATTAGCACTGGCTCTGTTTTTGAGGTGGGCATCTTGCTGTCAGATTCTTCTTCCTCTACTTCCCAAGGGCATACCTCTGCCCTCAAGCTTTCGACGCTGTCTGATTTGCTAGAGCCAGCTTTGGACCGGACTGGGCTTCTGCCGCTCAGTAATTCTATGCTATCCCAGTGAGAAATGGATTCTCGTGGGCTGCCTGCTTTTTCCATCGCCTTCCACCACCCCATTGGTCTGGTGTCCGTTTCATCTGTAGAATTCCTGCCTTTATCCTTTCTCGAGGTGTCTGACTCTGGTGGTCCTTCGTACACCTCCCATGGACATATTTCAGCTCTCGTATGAATCTCCTGGAAGTCCCATGGGCAAATCTCTGCCTTTAGGCTCTCAACACTGTCATGTTTTTTGTAACCCACGAGAAACAGATCTAGACTTCGGGTGCTTTTGGCAGATGGTTTCTCAAAGTCCATACTCCCCCAGGCACAAACTGTATCTTGGTGGCTCTTGGACTTCTCCATCTTCTTAAATGCAATTTCTCCCCCAGCCTTCTTTGCACCGGGACTTCTCAGTGCCCTGTCTGTTTTTCCTTTGGGAGACTCAACTGGGTCATGGCTTAACTGCTGTTTTTCCAAGGGTGCCTTCTCTGCTGTGCATTGGTGCACGTCCACCGTACTGAGGTCTTCTTCTGAAGTTTCCCACGGACAAACTACTGCCCTTAGACTTTCAATGCTATCTGATTTCCTTGAGGCCGGGCTTCGGCCACCTGATTGGGAAGGTTCCTCAACCTCCGTGCTTTCCCAAGGACAGACTTCTTCTCGTGGGCTGATCAGCTTTTCCGTAGGTTTTGGTGTGGCACATGTGCTGTCTTGGTTGCTAATACTTAAAGCATTTTTATCTGGTAGACTTTTAGTGACTTCCCAAGGACAAATCTCTGCCCTTAAGCTCTCAACACTCTCAGATTTCTTAGAAGGGGCTTTAGACATTTCCGGTTTAATAAAGACTTCACTGGGATTGATGGTTTCCCATGGGCAGACTGACTCTTGTGGACTGATCGCTTTTTCCGTTGCTTTAAAAGGCTCTGTTTCTTTTGGAGGGGTAGTCCTCTCCCTTTCAAGAGCTCTGTCACCTTTTGAGGTTGATCTTTTACTCAACAAGCTTTCAGGCTCCTCCCATGGGCACACATCTGCCTTAGTGCTAGAGTCGGTTTCCTGGATTTCCCAAGGACACACTTCTGCCTTGAAGCTATCAGTACTGCTGGATTCTCTGCGGGCTACTTTAGATTGGTCTGGACTTTTAGTGCCAGTTTCTGATGGAATGTCATGAGCGCCCATCGTTTCCCAAGGACAGATGGATTCTCGTGGACTGCTCGCCATCTCTGGAGATGTAGCCATGATGTCTCCTGTCCTTTTTGAAGCTTCACCCTTATCATGTGCTGAAGTCCTTCTATCTGATGGAGCCAGAGTCACTTCCCAGGGGCAGATTGCTGCCTTAGAGTCAATTTCAATATCTTCAGCCTCCCAAGGACAAACCGCTGCCTTTTTACTCTCCACGCTGCTGCTTGTCTTCAAAACGACTTTGGGTAGGTCTGGTATTTTAGCAGCAATTTCAGTGTTTGCTTCTTCGGCTCCTGCGTTTTCCCAGGGGCAAATAGAGTCTTGAGGACTGCCTTCTTTATCCCATTTTCTGGACGGAATGTCACTGATCTCCTCTGATATAGGACTTCTGGGTTTTGTCCTTTCAGCCCCTTTGGATTCCTCTCCTGGATCCTGATCTAGCTGGTCCATCAATAAGAAGTCATCACTCGTCTCCTCCCAAGGACATATCACTATTCTGATGTTGGTTCCATCTTCAGGTGTCCTACAAGTGGCCATGCTTTTAGCATCTTCAGTTTTTGCTGGTAATTCCATGGACTCCCAGGGGCAAATGGAATCTACTTGGTCGCTGATTTTCTCCACTGCCACTGCTCGTTGGGTTCTGCTGGTCTCTTTGGAAAACAGGTCCTTGTCCCCTACGGGCGACATCTCCACTGGAGGTTCCTCCACATCCCAAGGGCAGATCAGTGCTTTATCGCTGGTACTCACCTCCTCTGTTTCCCAAGGACAAATCTGTGCCTTATCGATCTCCATACTCTTGGGTTTCTTTTGGTCTACCTCAGGTAGCTCCGGGCTCTTCTCAATCTCCTTGCTATCCCTTGAATCATGCAGGCTGCTCACTTTTTCTTGGGATACAGATTGAAGGGCCTCTTTCGAAGATGCCCCTTTCTTGTATCCATCTGTTATTGGTTCATCCCTTGGCAAAGCCGTGCTTGTTTCCCTGGAGCTGGCTATGGCCTCTGCCACTTCCCAAGGATAGGCTGCTGCCTTCTTCTTGTCTGTTCTTGGGACCATTAAAGCATACTTGGAGGTTTTATCCTCTGCGTTTTGATCCGTGTCCAGGCTCCTCCACGTGGATTCCCATTGGCTCTTGGTCTCTTCCAGTATGACAGGGGAGATCTTTCCAGAGCTTTTGGGAGCCATCGCTTCTGAACTGCCTGCTCTGCCGAGCATGATGCCATCTTGGCTCATCTCCGAAGGACACACCTCAAATGCTTTGCTCGGGCTCTTCTTCTGTGGGCTGGGCGGGATGTCCTCCTCATCCCAAGGGCAGATGCTTGCTTGCCTGCTGGGTACCTTTGCCCTGCTCTCCTCTGGGCTTCTGGATGTTTCCTGTTGCCTTGGTGTCCCTCCAACAGAGAGAGAGACTATTTCCGCCAGTTTGGGCTTTTCAGTTTTTCTGAGGCTTTCTTCACTATCTCTCCTTGCTTTCACGCTTGCCTTTATTCGTGACCGGTTGAATGCCTTAATGGCTAGACTTAAGCTTTTCATAGAGCTTTTCGGAATGGAGATCTGGGGTTGTTTCTCCGGAGAGTCATTCTGACTGTCCATCTCGCTCCCTTGTGGGTCTTTTTTGCTTGGCACTTCCATGACCTCCCAAGGACAGACTTCTGCAGCAATGGAGGCCAGCCTTTGTAGCCCAACGGGAGAAGGGAGCGGCGCATCCTCTGATGCTTTCCGGCTCCTCTCTGCCTCGCTCTTTGCCGGAGACTCCATCGATTCCCAAGGCCGTACATCTCCTAGTGTTGGGCTCCCTTTGGAATCTCTCTTCAAGGACTGGGTGAGAGCCAGTGCTTGGTCCGTTCTTTCGAGGCTATGGCCCAAACTTTGTTGCCGGACGGGTGGCTCGGGTGGTGTCTTCTTGCTGGCCTGGTGTCTCTTTCCCGCCGAATCGGAGATGTGCTCACTGTAGCTCCTGTTGGGGGCGTACGTGACGTGTTTCTGCATCCTGCTTTCTCCGGGGGTCGGTGGGGCTGTGGTGGAAGCTGAATCAGCTTCCGCCAGGCATGTGGCATCTTCGATGGAGCCGCTGTCTTCCAGAAGGGATTCTGCAGTTGCTTCAGATGCATCATCCCTCTGTCGCCGTTTCGTTACTAGATTTGAGGCAACATTGGTAATCTTGGTGTGCCCAGAGGCCTTGCTTTCCATTGCAGAGTCTTCTGCTGCTCTCGCCTTTTTTTCTTGGGTTTGCCTGTCACGCTCTTCTAGGTAAGCCCTGCTGGTGAGCAGCAGGGCCTTCTCTTTGGCGCTGGTGGCAACACTGAGGGACTTCTGCAGGGGTGAAGGCTTGGGCTGCAGAGGTTTCTTGTTGGCCGATAGATTGTGAGCGCTGGCCGACTTGTAGACCAGAGGGGCCGAATCATCGAGACAGTCGCTATTGGATCTCTCCGAAGCTTTCTTGGCTAGTTTTTTCCTCATCAGCGAATCTAGCAAAGGAGCCTCTTTGCAGTTGTCGTGCCTGGCTGATAAGTTGTTCTCCTTGACGTCCCTCATGTGGTCGTAGGTGCTGTGGGACTTTTTCAGGGACGGGGCCACCTTGCGCTTGGAAGAAAAGTCGTCTTTCAGCTTCATGCTCGAGCTACCAGAGTCCAAGTGCCTTCGCTTGTAGGAACCCGAGCGACTCCTGGTGCCTCTGCTGGAAGACCCATCTCTCTCCTCTTTGCTGCACTGGCGGGACATAGACTCAGGGATCTCAGTGATACGCCTCATGAGGGAACGGCCGATCCCCCTCTTGGAACTCCTCTTCTTTTGAAGGTGAGGGTTGTTGGCCGTCATCTTCTTGGTCTTGTGAACCTCCAGTTGTGTGTAAAGCTTTTTCAGTTCATCCTACATGTTATGTGTAGAGGGGAGGGGGCAACAGGGTGGAGGATAGGGGACAAATATACAAGGGGAAAGTGGGAGGAAAAAACCAAAACTCTTGTTCAGTCAGAAGCAAAACGACATTAGGAGTTTTACCACGTGTAGACGAATGCCAACACTGCTGGGGCTATTGGTACATGACTGTCTATTGCTTGACCTGCATTCCTGGGATGAACATGGGCTGAGTCAGACTACCAGTCTATCAAGGTCAGTATTGTCTACACTGACTGGCAGAATTTCTCTAGTATCTTAGGCAGAGATCTTTCACATCAGCTACTACTTGATCCCCTTTAACTGGAGATGCCAAGGACTGAACCTGGGACCTTCTGCACACGAAGCAGATGTTCTACCACCGAGCCACGTTCCCCTCTTCTGGTGGTCCTCTACTCCAAGGGTGACAGGGCCAGGTTAGGGTTCCCAGGTCTCCTCGTTCCTCCAGTGGGGGGATTTGGGGGGGTGTTCTGGGGGTAGGTAGGGAAGTCATGTGACATGTCCGACACAATGACATCACCTGGAAGTGAAGCCATCACATCAGGGACACTGGTATTTGGGCAAAACTCTGAGTTTTCATCCTCAAAACCATAGAGTTTGCCCAAATACCAGAGCGTCCCCTGATGCAATCACATCATTTCCGGGTGACGTCATCATGTCGGGGACATCGCATAGTGAAGTCCCTGTTTAGGGGCTGGCAACCCTAGGCCAGGTAGGGTTTTCGCTCAGCAAGGCTTCTGGTTGACTGCTGGAGATTTGATTGGCTGTGCAGATTTTTAAAAATGCTGCTTTGGCAGCAGCTGCCACCACAGCACAAGGATCTGCACTGTGTTACTGATGTTAAGCTGTGGCAGCCATTTTGTGGCTGGTTCTGCCTCCTGCGGCAGCCGTTTTGTTGCTGCACCCACCATGCCATGTCAGAGTTCAAATGCCATAGTGTCCACCTTCCAAAGCAGCCATTTTCTCCAGGTGAGCTGATCTCTCCTACCTGGAGATCAGTCATCCCAGGAGATCTCCAGCCACCCGCTGGAGGTTGGCAACTCTAGTAGTCAAGGCAGCATAACACATTTTTCTAAATACAATAATAAGGTCCTCGTGCTGGAGGTCTTCACAGTGGCAGGAGGCCACTGATTTGTCAAACTGTGATTGACTGCCCATGGCAAAGCAGTTCCGATAACCAGCATGACACCATGTGGTGTTCAATCAGGGCTTGAAGACTCTTGATAAAAGAGGAGGATCAAGATGGGTAGCCGTGTTAGTCTGTCTGCATCAGTATAAAAGAACGAGAGTCCAGTAAAGACTAACAAAATTTGTGGCAGGGTGTGAGCTTTCGTGAGTCACTGCTCACTTCTTCAGCTACAGCTGAATATCTTGTAGGGTAGGAGTGATTTCAGATGAGGACCGATGGACTCCCATTCTAGCTGTAGCTGAAGAAGTGAGCAGTGACTCACGAAAGCTCACACCCTGCCACTAATTTTGTTAATCTCTAAGGTGCTCCTGGACTCTTGCTCATTTCTACTGCTATAAAAGAGGAAGATGCATAGCATAAGCAGATCTCAGGGGGATAGCTGAAGCAGCAGGACAAAGTTTGAGTCCAGTGGCATCTTTAAGACCAACAAAATTTTATTCAAGGAATAAGCTTTCATGTGCAGGCACACTTCTTCAGAGACAATGAAATGGAAATTACCAGTCCACATCTAGGTAGAGGCTGAGCAGTAAATTAGCATACAGCATAATGAAAGAGTTTAACAGATGCAAGGGCCAAACAGGAATCTTAGTTATATGGTTACCCTTCGTCTGGGTTTAATTCCGGGGGAAACATAGCGAAGGAAATAAATATGTCAGAATTGGAGATTGATGGGCAGATGTATCCTTAATTGTGGGATGCTGAGAGTCATTAACTGAGACCCTGCCATTGCGCTCCATCCGTCTCCTCTCAAGCATGGAGGCGACCTTACAGAACTGCACAAGTTTCTTTGTAAGGTTGATGGAGTTCCATTCCATGTGGCCTAATGGGGTGCCTTCCCTGAAGATAGATCCAGGTGGGTGGCCGTGTTGGTCTGAAGCAGTAGAACAAAGTCTGAGTCCAGTGGCACCTTTAAGACTAACATTCCCCTGGAATTAAATCCAAAACAAATGGTAACCATATAAACTAAGCTTGTTATTCCTATTTGGTCCTTGAATCAGCTAAATATCTTCATTATGCTGCATGCTAGTTTACTGCTCAACCTCTACCTGTACGTATGGACATTTCATTGTATCTGAAGAAATGTGCGTGCACACGAAAGCTTATACCTCGAATAAAACTTCGTTGGTCTTAAAGGTGCCACTGGACTCAAACTTTGATAAGCAGATCTTGTTCTTCAAGTCAGCTAGATATGTGACTCCTTGGGAAACGCAAGCTATCCTGAGCTCCTTGGAGGAAAAGCCGACCAGGTATGCGAGAAATAATAAACTTTAGCAGTAGAAGCCACCCACAAAGCAGATGCTTTCGCATGCTGCTGCAAAACAGCATTGCAAAACAATGGCCATGAACAATTAGCTCTGATTTTCAGTGAACGCAGATGCTAGGAAGGGGGACAATGAACCTCCCAGTGAGATCTGCAGCAGGCCCTTGTGGCTTAGAAGGCTCCAGGCCACCCTCTAACAACCAGATCCCCAAGGGAAAATGATACTTTCATGCCGCAGATGCAGTGTTGCAGGTAGGATTCTCAGCTCCGGGTTTTGGGGGGGGGGATGGAGAGAGACTTCTATAGGGTGTAGTGCCGTGGAGCCCATCTTCCGAAGTGGCCATTTTCTCCAGGGGAATTGATCTCTGTCGCCTGGAAATCAGTTGTAACCCCAGGAGATCTCCAGCTGCTACGTGCAGGCCGGCAGTCCTAGCTGCAGAGTTTCACACTCCACGTCAGGGCAAAGACCGAGAAAGCATTTTATAAAGTGACATGGCTGGCTTGGAAGCGCGCCCCCATTCTTCAGAGCGTTCTGGGTTAGCCCTGAAGATATTTTCAGAAGTTAGACTTGTTGGTCTGCAGTAGAACAGCTGGGTTTGAGTCCAGTAGCCCTTAGAGACTAATAATAATAATAAGAGATTGGATTTATACCCTGCCCTTCATTACCCAAGGGAGTCTCAGAGCGGTTTACAAACTCCTTTCCTCCCCCTCCCCACAACAGACACCCTGTGAGGTAGGTGAGGCTGAGAGAGCTCTGACAGAAACGGCTCTTTTTTGAGAACAGCTCTTATCAGAACTATGGCTTGCCCAAGGTCATCCAGCAGGTGCAAGTGGAGGAGTGGGGAATCCAAATCAAAGTTTTTGGCATATAAACTTTCAGAAGTCAAAGCTGACAAATCTTGGTTTCTAAGGAGCTATTGGACTATTTATGTCCAAGTGTCACTTTCACACATGCTAAATAAGTCCGTTTCTTCTTTTGGTATTTTGTGTATGTGTGTTTTAGGGTTGCCAGGTCTGAGAGCCGTTTTGGTGTAGTGGTTAAGTGCACGGACTCTAATTTGGGAGAACCGAGTTTGATTCCTCACTCCTCCATTTGCAGCTGCTGGATGACCTTGGGCAAGCCATAGTTCTGTCAGAGCTGTCTTCTCAAGGACAGTTCTGGAAAGAGCTCTCTCAGCCCCACCTGCCTCACAGGGTGTCTGTTGGGAGGGGAAGGGAAAGGAATTTGTTAGCTGCTCTGAGACGCCGAGTGAAGGGCAGGGTATAAATCCAATCTCCTCTTCTTCAGGTTTTCCCTGGCTGCCGGTGGAGGGCTCCAGCCCTGGGTTCCTGGATCTTCTGGCGTGGTGCGAGGCAATAACATCACCTGGAAGTGATGTCATTTCACTGGACATGTCGTGGGGACACTCTAGCATTTGGCCAAAAACTCTGTGGTCACCATAGAGTTTTTAGCCAAATGCTAGAGGGTCTTCACACAACATGTCCAGCGAGATGACATCACTTCCAGGTGACATCATCATGCTGGGCACAACAGGGTTCTTTTGGGGGGGCAGGCCTCCCCCAGCTGGTCAGCTGGCTGGCAGTGGATTGGGGCCCCTGAAAGCAGGGGGACCCTTGCCCCCATTGGGGGAATGGCAACCCTTGTGTGTGCATGTGCGTGTTTGTTTGCATGCCTGGAAGTCATGGCAACTTCTTACGACCCCTACTGGGGGCTAGTACATTTTTCAGAGAGGTGGCTTGATAGCCTGCCTCTGAGTCCCGAGCCCTGGTATTCTTTGGAAGTCTCCCAGTTACTTGCCAGGATCGGCCCTGCTTAGCTTCCAAGATCTGACGAGATCAGTCTTGCCTGAGCTATCCAGGTCAGGGCCTGAGTAATGCAGTTTCAATCCCGTGGCCGTTTGCAAGTGGATTTTGCCATTTCGCACAGTAAAATCCAGGTGCGAAGTGCATTGCATGTGGACTGAAAGTGCATTATTTAGTGTGTGTGAAAGCACCCTAATCCATCATACCCTCAAAGTGAGGGTTGGCTATTGCTTAGGCAAAGCGTACTTATGTACAAATGAGTGCACCCCAGGTCTGAATTCATCTTTTGAATGTTGTTTGGGTATAACATGAAGCTACCTTCTAGTCAGACTCTTGGTCTATTAAGTTCAAAGTCTCAGGTGGAAACTTTTAACTGGACATGGCAGGGATTGAACTCTGGGAGCTCCTGCGTGCAAAGCTGATGTGGTGCGACTGAGCCATGGCCCTGTCTTGCACCCCCACCCTATTTTGTGGTGCACACATGCTGACGCTGTGTGTCATCCATCCCTACAGATACAAAGCTGCCTTATACCAAGTTGGTCCTTGGACCGTCTAGTTTCATATTCCTTGTTTGGATGGTGGTTGCTCCCCCAGACTGTCAGGCCAAGGATTTCCCCCACTGTCCTTTTGGAACTGGAAATGGCAAAGATTGGACCTCAGGTCTGCACGAAAGCACATGCTCAGCTCCAGTTCTCTATAATTCTTATAATTATAATTCTATAATTCTGTCTGGAGAATCCTGTGTTGAAATGAATATCTAAGAGTGCTTAACCGACTTCCCACTGTCCCTGTTTCCTTCCCACAGTATATGGTTGCCAGCCCCGTGTTGGGAAATCCCTGCAGATTTTCGGTGGTGGAGTCTGGGGCTTGGGGAGGGGAGGGACTTCAGCAAGGTATGGTGCCATACAGTCCACCCTCCCAAGCAGCCCTTTTCTCCAGGGGAACTGATCTCTGTCATCCGGAGATCAGTTGTAATCCCAGGAGATCTCCAGCCACCACCTAGAAGTTGGAAACACCATTCCACAACCAAAACTCACAGGGAACAGCAAGCCTCGGATCCAAATCGTATGTGACACAGAGATTAAAATGATTGGAGCAGCCATGGAATGCTCTGATTTTGCTCACCACGATACTGTAGGGGAGGGGGGCGTTTGACCCTTGGCCACCCAGTTCTGTTTTCCCTACCTGAACTTCCCCTTGAAGCTGCTACACAGTCCCTGTACCTTTTCTGCTGCGGGATTCATAGCAATTTGGAGTGGGGGGGGGGAGTCCTGTAGGAGTGCCAACCTCCGTAATGATTGCCAACCTCCAGGTGGCACCTGGAGACCCGTTATTGTAATTGTAATTGATCTCCAAGATCAGTTCCCCTGGAGATAATTGGTGCTTTGGAGAGTGGACTCTTATGGCATTCTACCGTGCTGCTGAGGGCCGTCCCCTCCCTAAACCCCACCCTCCCCAGGCTCCACCCACAAAATATCCAGGGATTTCCCAACTCAGAGCTGGGAATCCTACCTCCAGGTGGGGCCTGGAGATTACAGCGGATCCCCAGACGACAGAGATCAGTTCCCTGTGTAGAAAGTGGCTGCTTGGGAGACTGAGCTCTGTGACACTGTACCCAGGTGAGCTCCCTTTCCCCTTTCCAAATCCCACCTTCCCCAGTATTCACTCCCCAAATTTCCAGGAGTTTTCCAACCTAGAGTTGGCAACCTTATGGAAAATGGTGCAGAGAATGACTTATAGGCGTAATCTTCGTGGGGGCGGCGGGGCCTCAGCCCCCGCCGAAATTTTCAGGAAGGTGCTCAGCCTCCCCCGGAGCCACCCTTGCTCCTAGCAAAGCAATGCCTCTGGCCCAGCCCCAGCCCCCCCCCCCCGGGAAATTGGAAAGTCTACACCCTTCCCCCCATCCCTTCACACCACCCAGCACTGCTGCTCTGTTTAAAGCTGCATGATTCTGAAGGTCAGTTCACAGTATCAGCTGTGCAGGGCAGTGTCCTTGTGTCACTAAGTTTACAGCATACACCACCCAGTCCACCCACCTCCACCCACTACATTGCACAGCTTTTGTTTTGTTTTTGCTGCTGCTGCTGGGAACAGGGCCAGCCTCACCCAACAAGCAGAGATCAATGGATTTCCAAAACCAGACTCTGTATTTCTCTCTCTCTCTCTCTGTTCCATCCCATGCTCTGCACTGAAACCCTACCCTGGACCTAGAGGCAGTCTCTCCTAGTATACGGGTCATTAGGCGTGGACTCTGGCATGTCTTTCCAAGAAATCAGGGGTCATTTCCTGCAGGAGCGCACAAGAGTGAAGCTCCGGCAGTAAAGAACCCAGGGGGCGGGCACATGCAACAAGCCCCACCCCCTGCTCCCAGCAGCCTTCAGTCAGAGCAAGAAGCAGCCAGGTAAGTTGCAGAGCTCCCCCCGCCCCGCCCCCCGTCCAAAACAGTCCAGTGGCACCTTTAAAACCAAGTTTTATTCAGGTACAAGCTCGCCCACCTCTGCGAGGACAGATCTGCTAGCAATCCAAATAGCTAGCAATCCAAAACAGTCTAGTGGAGCCTGAGCGGTGGGTGTTGCCTTCTGACACACTTCTGGTGATGTCAGGGGGTGTGGCATATGCAAATAAGTTATGCTAATGAGTTATGCTAATGAGCTCCTGCACCTCTTTTTCTACGAAATGACCCCTGCAAGAAATGACACGTGCCTCTGGTCTATTTGAGCCACAGTGCAGCAGCCAGTTTTGTTGGGCATCGCCATCACAACCAGTCACCCTGTGCCCACAGTTTCGGCCCAGAGGCCCAGTTAGAAAAGGGCCAGAATCCTGTTTGGGTCTAGCTCAAGATGGGCCGCTGTGTTAGTCTCTCTGTAGCAGTAGCAAAGAGCCAGAGTCCAGGAGCACCTTAAAGACTAACAAAACTGGTGGCGGGGCAGGAGCTTTCGAGTGTCACTGCTGACTGCTTCAGATACAGCTAGAATGGGAGTCCATCTGTCCTTATCTGAGATCCCTCCACTCTCCAAGATATAAGGACAGATATAAAGATGGATGGACTCATATTCTAGCTGTATCTGAAGAAATGAACAGTGACTCACGAAAGCTCTTAACCCTGGACTCTTGCTCTTTTTTACTATTTTGGTCTAGTCAGTGGGCTTTACACCCATGGAAGTATTCTCAGGGCTGCACTGTAAGACAGCAGGGTTAGGAACAGCCTTTGCTTGAGCCTGTGGAGAGATTCCGCCAATCAGAACAGACCAAATCAACCATTTTTAGTGGTCTTTGTTTCCACCTTTCCTTGCTGAGTGTTTGCCCTTTGCCACCCCGCCCGTTCCTGATTGGAGTTTATTTGGGTTCCTGGGAGGGGTTTAGCTTCAGGAGAAAGACTGCAAAAGGCAACTCTTACTCTGCACAGTTTCTGGCATAGCTAGCGTCAAAAGAAGGTCCTGAGTGTTCCACCCACCCGAATGTCATCGGGGTCAAGGCTGTGCTCACTCCAGGCTGACGTGATGCTGCTGTTCAGGTAGGAGCCTGATCGCCTCATATCCAGCTCATCCTCGTATACCTCGGCAGC